CTTTATTTTCAGATCCGCATTCATTCGATCAACACAGATTTTTTTTAAAAAAAATAGGGAAACGCAATTTTTTTTTTTTTTTTTGCTTTAAAAAACATTGAATTTTACGACTTGACGTTTGGTTAATGATTAAAAAACGAGCAAAACTCACTCTTTTTCCAACAGAGTCAATGAGAGAAAAAATAAGTTAATAAATAGTTTTTATGAAACAATTTCTAGTTCATTTTCGTGCATTATAAATGCATTGTTTGTTAATTTTGGTCAATTTGCGTTTATCGAGTTTCCAAATTTAATTTGCGAATTGTCTGGGCGTCTATTTCCTCGTTATAAATTTTCGAATGTTAGAAAAATTCAGGTTAATCGCAATAAAAGTTTAATTTATTAAAAACATTTCAAAGTTCGTAGCCTAGATAATCTATACACCTGCCGCCAGAAAAATATCATTCACGAGTTACCAAACAATCATTTCAAAAATGCGGGAAATCACAGACATTTGTCACAGAACAATTAACGTGTAGTTTGATAATCGAAGAATGAGTTAGAATAATAAAGAAAAAATATATTTCCTTACTTAAATGAATAGATTAGATATATTTAGCGTAATGCATAGGAAGTATACTTTAGTTAAGATTTATAATTCCTAAAAAAAAAGTAGGTGCATCTTGAATTTTGCTGCTAATTTTAAAACATTGAGAATATGAGGCACACAATCACGTCACATAAACACGCTATCGAGATGAATGGTTTATATTTTGTTGCTATTATTATTTTGTGTTGGAAGAAATGAATAGCAAGATCTAGCGATGTTTAAATTTCATTTTGTTTTTTAAAGAAAAAAAATATTTTTTAGGTTAGAAATTAAAAATGCTATTCATTTCTTAACTTCGATGAAAATAAAAAAAATAAAAAATTAAGAAATTTTTTATTAATTATTATTTTATTCGTAATAAAATTGATGAATAGTCATTTTCATTGTGTTGAAGTTCGAAAATTAATAAGAAGTGTTACCATTTTTTTTCTTTAAGAACTAAATTTACTCGTTATAAGATTTTATTTCATTCACAAAATTCATTCATTCAAAGCACTATTTTCTGAGTAAATTGTTCAATAAATTGAAATTCGCACACCACCCCCAAAAAATTTAAATTTGGTGGAAAATTTGAGATGTATGTTAAATGTTAAAAACATAAAAAAGTATACTTTCTGACTTAATATAAAAGAACATGGAAAAAACAAAACAAGTTTGACTTAGAAAGAGACAAACCTAGTTTAAATAGCTCGCCATATACTTCATATGTATTAAGAATGCATTTTCTGTCGTTATTTAAAGTTATTCATAGATTTAAAAAAAAAAACATGGGAAAATGTGTCTTCAGATTACAGTTGAGTCTCGATTATTTGGACCACTACTCACTCTGATAACCGAAAAATTCGGTTAAAGCGAAGAGTATAAGAAAAAGAGTTGATATAAATGTAATATATTTAACAAATACAAAATTTATTAGAGTACACCACATACGATTCATTAAAAATCTTACTTAAAAACACTTAAAAAGCATACTTTACTAGAATGAAAGAGTTTTTACTTAATAAGAGTCCTTAATAGTTTTTTTTATATGAAATTACTTAGGAGATTTTCTACAGCAATGTGCAGCATTTATTTAGGGTTAACAGGAAGGCTGCTGTCGCCTCTGCTTATTGTTCTGTACAATAGCACTTTCAATAGTCCATCTGTAAGAAAGATTTTTATAGGTGGATTTCTCATAGTCACTCACTGTCCTCATCATCTTCTCTAGATTCATTTTCATTATTGACGATACTAACTATCATTTCATCGGTCATCTCGTATTGTCCGTCAGCTTGTTTTCCCAAGTCCTTGGAAGATAAAAGTCAGAATTGTTTTCGGCAGTAGTTTTAAAAATAAAAAATAAAATGGAACAAAAAAAAAATTCCTTGAAATATTTGATAGCTCTGTTAAAAGCGGAAACTCGTATAATCGGGACTCTACTGGGCTTTGTTTTCGAAAGTGTCATGAAAAAAGTATCCATTTTAAAAGGGCTGATTTATTTTTTCACAGATATCTGACAGACATACGAAATCAGTCAGGAATAAATGATGACTAAAATTGTGTTGCTTGTAAACACAAAAGTAAACCTAAAGACTCGTGGCAACTGTTATCAATGAACTTTTCACGAGTCAACCAATTATACAACACTACCTTTAACGCCCTAATGAAAGCGTTTAAATCACTATTCTTTTGAGAACTTATGGGAGTAGTCGACGTTTTGGAGTTCTTTATACAATAAAATATGCTATTATATCCATTGTATTTTGAGGGAAATATACCATAGTGTATCACAATTATCATTTTTAAATGAATCATAGTTGCGTCCTCTTTTCATCTGTTAAAATGGAGCCCGGCATCAATGTTTTCTTAGTTGTCTTTTATGTTACAGCATGCTTTAAGAGGAGGCCGTACCACTTTTCATCACATATTATCTTTCACCTCCATCATTAATTAAAAGTATGGAAAAAAGTGAGTTCAGACAAGCATAGAGTGAACCATGAAGTTTCAAATACTAAAAAAAAAATTTCAGTTTTGTTTTTTCAAGAATTATAATTTTGAATACGAAATTTACGGTAAACTGTTACCATAGGAAAGTATAAACTTGCAAATAAAGAGTTTAAATGCAGTATATTTTGGAGTTTTATTACCAGAATTATCTCTTTTCTTTTCTTTAGGGAAAAAAAAAAAAAAAAAAAAACAGAAATGTTAAGACCATAAAAGTACGGTTATTTTACCACAATTTTTTTTTCTCCGTGCAGTAACCGCAAGGCTTATGCTCTGACTTAACTATTTTTTTTAAAAAAAATGATAGTTTGAAATTCTTAAATAATGCTTTTGGGACAGCTTGAGTATGCTAAGTTTGTCACAAACAATAATAATTCATAATCAAACGAGAAGATTACGAGAATGTCTTCTATTTAATTTTTTATAAAATCCAAGTGCAGCTGGAATTTTTTTGAAATTCGTGATGAAGTTTCAGCACCAGTCAGATACATTTTGAAAATGCTCCCGAACAAAATTCAAAAACTAAGGGAAAAAATTGCTATTTCTTAAATAATTACTTTTTAGAGTAAATTTTTAAGCTCTAAAAATGTGCAGAACATTGAAAAAGTCTATGAAGTTTTTTTAAATTTATTTATCCATTTAATAATAAATATAAATACAGTAAGTAATCTTAAAGCGCTAATTCACCTGTTCTATTATTTCTATTGCTCAGAGACTTTAGAGCTTTTTCTTTTCTTCTTTTCCTTTTTTTTTTGTAATAGCTTACGACTAAAAAGAGCTTTTTCAGATTTTTAATTAAAACACGAGTATAAGAAATACTACAAAATCCCATTTGATTATTGTACATGTTTCAAAGATTACATTTTAGATTTTTTTCAATCAATTTTGTTTTCCAAAATAGTATGAAATGTGCCCACCAATGTCAAAATACGTCCTGAAAAAGTTTCTTTGAAGAAAACAAGGATTTCGTGTCCAGTAAATGTGTCGAAATATTAAAAAAATAACAGATTTTCAACTAAATAAATAAAATAAATTTTAAAAAAAGCCTCGAGAATGTAACATTAAAATTTGGAGGTTAAAAAGACATGTTGTTAAAACGCCATTAAATAAACGATTCATTTCAATAGAAATTATAAATGAAAATATAAAATTCTTCAAAGGAATTGTTTCACAAAATTAACACTTCCACCCACTTTGGAAAACATTATTTCTAGAAAAACGAGTCGAATGTTTAAACGAGTCTAATATTTAAGACTTATAAAAAGTTGATATATTATGCTTCGTTGCATAATTTAAGTAGACGGGTCTTTATCCGTTTGATATAACCTCTTTATTCAAGTTATAATTTGAGAAACAAGCTAATTTTTTTTTAACTTTCGATTTCAGTTTCATGAAATTATTTTATCTTCTAAGTCTTTGTTTAATCTCTATCAAATGTTAAATTGTTTTCTTTACGGCTAATCTTTGGCGCAATTGACTTAAATCTCTAAATTCTACAATTTTAATCTCAAAGCCGCATAATCTTGAAGATCTCGAAAAATCGACATTTTTTTTCTCCAGTTCATCGACCTATTTTGTAAATTGAAAAACTTTCATGCTATCTGGACAGAAATACCGTATTTATTACAAAAATAAATATTCCAGGTGACTTTAAAAAAAAAATTAAAGGAAAAAAAATCTATTATTCTTTCGTTCTCATAAACAAGCTAATCCATCCATTCTTACCAAACACCTGCGACAACAATTCTTCCGCAAGTGTCATTTATACCATCCTATCACCATCATCATCAGCGGAAGACAAATGCTTTTGGTCATCTTCCTGGTTTTCTCCAAGGGTGGAAAATCGAACAATTCGCTTGATTTACAACATTCGAAACGAGACTCTTTAATACATCACTATCTCTGTCATCAGTAGTAAAAACTAAAATTTACATTTACACCTCATTAACTTCTTTTTAGATTTCCCTTTAATCCAGTTCTGAAAAACTGTTACATTTCTTGACCAACAAAGTCACGAAACGGCATTATTTACAATCTAAAGAACAGCGGTATATAGAAAAAGAGAAAGGGGAACAAAAAAAGAACACCCCCTTAGCTTCTATCTTTTTTTAATTCTAATTCTTGGTGGCAACGCACACAGATTAAATCGTGATCATCAGAATGTGGCCACTGCCAGGGAGGGTGGAAAGTGTCTTCTTTAAGCCTAAAGGTCCAACCCTGCCCAAAAAGAAGATCTAGATTACTGAAAAAGTCGTCTGACGGAATGTAGGTGTTCTATTTTTTTCTATATCTTCTAACAAACCCTTTCGGGTTTTTTGAAACTCTCTTTTTTCTTCTCACAACTGTAAACTTCCTGTTGTAAAATTTGTACGTTGACCTATTAGAGGTGTTGTGGTATATAAGAATCAGTATCATATGGTTTCAGCATCAATTTCTTTCGAATCTTCATTCGGATAAGTTTAAAGAGTTTTTGAGTTTTACACCCGACTATACAATGACTTTAATGAAAGTGAGTGTTTATGTTTCTTATCATTGTTGGACAACTTTCATCTTTTCATTGTCTTGAGATTTACTTTCAGTCCGGATTAATATTTATTATTTTTCTGAACATTTTTAAGTAGTTTGAAATTTCTTAAAAATGCTATCATTTTTCCGAAAATTAGCATTTATTTTCTAATTTTTTTTGGCAATGTACTTCGTTGAGATGGAGAAACTTTAAATTTTAAGTTACTTCGATATTATGGACAGAATAAATATAGTTATAATATTTTTAAAATTTTTGTAAATTAATTCTTTTTCTTACTTTTTTTGTTATCACTGTTAAGTTCCTTTCAAAAATGCTAAAAATTTCTTGAAAATTTATGTGTGCATATTTTTTTTAAAAATATAACTTTGTAAAAATAGATATTTATGCTAAGAATTTTAAATTTTAATTTATCCTTCTAGGTTATTAACTGAAGAAAATGTCCTAAAAATTCTGAAAATCTTGTGTTTCATTGCTATAAAACTTTTTAAATTTAGAATAGCATCGTTTATATAATAATTAAAAAAATTCATACGTCAATATTAACTCTTTATTATATGACTTAACTGATTATGAATTTTAAAGTTACATATGAATTTATGACTTTTGATTGAGTTTTGTAGACTGAACAAAATATCTTGAAAAACTTAAAAGAATGCAAATTTTTAAGTTTTTTTTACATTATTTCTCAAATGTTTGCGTTAATCTAAAGTTCTGCGAGAATGCTAAAACTTCTAAAGATTTTATATTTTAAATTATATGTTTCTTATAGACTATATATTTCTGAAGATTTTTTCCTGTTTGTTTACATAAACTGTTTAACGTAGCATTGCAAGTGATTCTAACGATTAACTTTTTGCTAACATGAAAGCAATTTTGCTAATATATATGCTTATATAAAACATTTTCATGCAATATTATTATTCAAGATATTTTAAAAACTACTTCTGAAAACGTAAAAATAAATGATAATTAAACAGAAAAAAAACCATCAATACATATTTAAAAAAAAAAATTAAATGCGTATATTTTATGTAAAATTAAAACTTTTTACATTATCATCAGAAACTATCATAATTTGAATTATGCGAAGTTTACTTTTAGTTTTGAAAGTATAGTAACAAAACAGGGGCAAGTTTTATGTGAAAAACTATTAAACTTAAATTTTGTCTTTATGTTGGTGCATTGAGTTCTTTTTTTTCATTAGATTTAATATGTACGTAGTTATACTTAATTCTCTCAATGAATACAAATTTCACTGCTACCACTCTTAAATTTTTTCAATGATTACTGAACTCCTATAAATATTTTACTTATTCACGACGAGTTTGGTGGTTTTTTTTTTTTTTTTTTTTTTTTTTTTTTNATATGACTGAGACAATGCAAAATTTTTTTTTTTTTTTTTAAATAATACAACAATTTACTTATAATCTTTTGAAATATGTATATAGTTGAAAATTTGCGTGTAATTCATGTTAGAGTTATTCTTTTTGTGTATCTGTATCCATTTCAATGTTTAATGTTAAAATTATTACTAGAAAATTTAAAAAATAAAGTGATTGTTAATTTTTAGGAATTTTTATTATTTCTTTTATTTTTGCAAATAACAATCTTTTAAGTTTGCTTAGTAAGAATGCAATAATAAAGAAAAATATTCTCTTGGAAAAACAAATTCTCTATTCAAGATTAATCCTATTTTCTATTTTATATATATAAAAATTTCAATGAGATAGAAAGTTAGGAAATTGAAAATTAGTGTATATTTTCTGGAATCTAGCTAACTTTTTACCAAACCAGGTAACTTTTTTACAAATTGCAGGTCTCCGCTGTTTTACTTCTAACATTTGCTTCCTGTTATGCAACATATAATAATGGTTATCATGGGGGCGATGGATATCATGGTGATAGCAACGGTGGATCTCGTAAAGTTCACATTGAGTCACCAAAAATTCACTTGGATGGTCCAAAAATTCACCTAGACAGTGCAAAGATCCTATTGGACAGGCCCAGCATTCACGTTAAAAACAGTGCACAAGCCCATGAACTATTGGGCGATGATGAACCAATTATCTTAGAAAACGACAAGCCTTTATACATTCGCAAGTCTCTTCATGGATTTCAACCATCTGCCTCAGCAATCCTCATTGAAGGAAACCACGGTCATGGTGGATACGGTTCAAGCCATGGTGGATACGGTTCCAGCCATGGTGGATACGGTTCAAGCCATGGTGGATACGGTTCTAGCCATGGTGGATACAGTTCAGGCCATGGACATGCATCAGGATATAGTTCAGCAAAAATTGTTAGAGGTAATTTTAATTTTTTCTTTTTTAAGAAATAAATTATGCTTTTTTCATTGTTAAAGAGGTACATTCTATATTCAGCTACACTCTATATTTCCCTAACAGTTTGATGGAAAATGATTGTAAATAAGCGACTATCTCAATAAGGCTGCAATCTCAATAAGATGTGTAATTTCAATAAGGCAATAAGCTACAACCTCAATAAGATGTTAAATATAACCATGATATCGTAAATGTTAAACTATAGAACATTAAAGTTTTGCTGATTTTTTTATTAGACGCAAACTTAAACCACGCTCAAGTTGAATCATAATAAATTTTACTTCAACATTAATAAAAAGCTAAGTTTAACAATGTTTTTGTCCATATTGAACTATGGAATTGTGTATAGGATTCGAATAATGGTTAATTTTTGCGTCAGATTGATTCAGTTCGATTATATATGAAAATTGCAGCAAATTCACATTATATTGAGACAAAAAATAATATTTCAAGCAGTTAAAAAACAAGATTTCTGCTTGCTTCTTTATCTTTTTTCATTTAATAATAATTACAATAAGGTACAATAATTAAAAATACAAATACATAATATGAAAAAAATGTTTTACATTTGTTTAAAAAAATTGTACTTATTTCCAAGCGTATACTGAGAGTCCAATATTTTTATGCTTAATAACTGGTTGGGGAAAAGATCTTTTAACTCATAAACGAGTTTTTATTCTGTGGGCTAACATTCTAAATATGAAATTTTGAAAGTCAAAAGTTTAGAGCACTTGCACTGCCACTTCTTTAAAAAATTACTTTCAGAAGAGCTCTTTTAGTTAAAAATTCAAAATTAATCATAATACAAAATAAATCATTAAAAAACTTGGAATATGATGTTTTTCTTTGTACATATCATAGAGCAGTGATTCCTAAAATTCTAGAGTTCCGAAAGTAAGAGCTTTTCTTTGACATTTTTGAAACCTATAATTACATTTAGATCGAATCAATATTCCCTTATTTGCTTAATATTTCGACTGCCTTTGGCAGATTATTAGGGATAAAGTGAATAAGAAAAAAAATGGCAAGTTTTTATTTTTAAAAAATATATATAATTTTTCTAACAATAAAATAAACAAATTATGAAAAAGACAGGTTTTAAATAGTTTTTTTCGTCTCACTTTTCAAATCAAAATAGAATAACTAAATTCGTTCATGAAGGAAACAGGCTTCCCTAATATCCATTTTTAACGTTTATTGCAGTTTTTCTTAGTTTTAATTTCAGAGAAAATCCTAATTCGTCTTATTTTATTCATTTTTGACTTATATATGTGTACACAAAAAGCATTTATTAAATACAAAAGAAAAAAATTCGTAGAGTATACTTTCGCAACATTTTGAAATATTTGAACAAAAATTTTGCATTCGCCCTCCATACAGAATTGGAGTAGAGAGGAAATACGAGTCTGACCTTTAAACAAAAAAGCAAAAAGTATTTAAAAGAAAGTAAAAAAAAAATTAATTCATGCAACCATAAGAATAAACTAAATTATATGTTGGAGATGAAAAAGAAAGGAGACTAAAAGTTACTTTTTGAGATTACAAGTCACAACAATGTGTTTCAGATGCTTCTACACGGGGGGAAAATGTATAGTCAAAACTACCAGAATGTGGTAAAATAAACCTGGCTCTATAGGAACATCAAAAAGTTGTTAATTTTTGCCAAAGTGCTTAGGTAATGATATTCGAAAATTTAACAATAAAATGTGATTTTATCATATGGGATAAAATTTGATAAATGTGGTAAAATTTGGTAATTTTGTCATGGTAATTAACATTTATTTGATTAAATTTACATTTCAATTTTCTGTGTTTTACGAAATGTGTGGTAACAAAAACTGCAATTTTGAACACTAGAATTTCCGGTAAACCGTTACCATTTGAACGAAAAAGTTAACAAATAAATGCTTACCGGAATTATGGATTTTTCTTACAAGAAAGGTCATTACTATACAGTACAGTAATATTAGAATATTAGACGGTAATATTGAAACCAGAATTTTTTTTCTATGTGTACAAATTAGAGAACATCCCCATAATTACTACTTCCATTCCTAAAAAAAAAAAAATGACTGAATCATTTAAAAAATAGAGACTCAAAATTAAATTGTATCTAAACACTAAACAGCCGCCGTTCAACAAACATCATAATTGGGTCAGCTTCTCGTGATATACCATTATAAAAAAACAAATGACCTCTGCAACTTTGGATGATTAAAAAGAATCGTCTCTTCTGGTCAAATTGTTCTAACACGAGAAAGAACTCATTTTTCTAGGCCAAGAGCATCCGTTTAGGCCGAAAATGATATCAGTCAGCAATTAGCCACAAGCAATTGAAGTCTGCTAACAATTTTCTTGTTTGTATTTTTTCTAAATGCTGGCTAACTTTTAAGCAATTAAGTTGAAGTGTTTGTTAAGAATCGAAAGTAACCGGCGGTTAAAATATAGTCTTTTTTTAGAACTGAATGTGTGATTTTTTCAAAGAAAATATAATGAAAAGTGAGCAAAATCTGAAAATAAATGTGAGTTTCTTTAATTGAATCTGTAAGTGGTTTTGTAATTAAAAACACAATACTGTCTAAAGAGCTAGAAAGATCCTTATTAGATAAGATTTGTTACTCATTTTAGTTCTTCTTGTTAACTTTCTTTTTCACCCTTTCTTTATTTTTGTCTTATCTGCGCAATTATCTTTTTTAAGTTAATGAAATGATTTTTATTTTATTTTAACCGTAATATATTTTTCATTCTTTTAGCATGGTCTAGTAACAATTAAGATGTTTTGTTTTATTTCAAATTGCATATACTAAGAATAACGACATCCAGTTGAACTAGTTTAGATAATTTATTGAGTTGTATTACAATGCAGTTTTAATGACTTATACAATTTAACATTATTTGAACCTTTTTAGTCCTATCTACAAGTTAATTATTTTTAATGGTCATTAAAACTGTTCCGTTCCAAAATTCAAATTTTTTTGTTCCTACAGTAATGCATTTTCAATTACAATTATTTTGTTTTCAAATTTTAGTATCAATTACCATATTTTTCTTATGTTTATTTTAACACAAACAGGCTTCTCTAGTTAGCTAAGATTTAATTTTCAGATGTTTCAAGAAATCTTATTTTAATTATTATAATTTAAAAAACCATTTTAATGAACGAAAATTGTTTCTGCTAAGAAAACTTTTCCAGAAATGCAGAAAGAACTGTAAATATTACATAAAAATGGTCAAAATCGTGACAGATAAGATATCGAATTTCACATGTTTTTCAGGTTATAAATAGTTTAATTTTTGAACTTTTATATCTATGTCAACTTAGTTCTGGATATACATTGCATTCATATTGTGTTGTGAGTTTCGATTTTTAAAATTAGTTGGATTTAAGTTCGTATCCTGCATGGGTAAGATAATTGTCAGTTATGACAACATAATTTTTGACTTATAAAATTAGTGGGATCCAAGTTCGTATCGGTATGAATATTAGATGTAAATAATTGCATAAAACTACATGATTTCTGACTTCTAGAATTAGTAGAATTAGAATACAAGTTCGTATCTATATGAGTAGATAAATACGAATAATTACATAAAACTGTATGTTTTTTGACTTCAAGAATTGATGGGATCCAAATTCGTATCTGCACAAGTAAATAAATCTGAATAATTACAAAAAACCATATGATTTTTGATTTCTGAAATGGGTGGCATCCAAGTTTGCTTGTGTATGAGTAGATAAATATGAATAATCGCATAAAACTGCATGATTAATGACTTCTGAAAGTAATGGGATGCAAATTCGTATTTGCATGAAATGATAATTATTAAGAGTTAGAGCTAGAAATGCAAAAAATGTTCTTCTATTTGATCCCGTTTTTTTACAATTCTTAAATTAATAATTCGCAAAATAATAATAATATTAATAATAAACTCAACTTAAATAATAACTTTAAGACTCATAATGGGATATTTGAAGCAATAATGGCAAAGGCTATTATTTACTTTGTGAAACTACAATTTTCATTGAATCAATTCCTTTTGTATTTTCTCTATAAATTCATCGTCACACTATAAATTTTAATGGCACATTTTATTTACTCCATTTATAGCTCCAGCTACAATCGTTGCCGCTGCTGCACCCCTCATAGCACCAGCACCCATTGCCCATGACGCCATCTTCGTACGCAGACCAGTCCATGTTGCAAAGGAACTTGTACCCACTCAAGATCACTTGGAGAAAGCCCATTTCGAACGTGTCATTGTCAGTGGCGGATATGCTCACGGACACGCTGGTCACCCCACTGGTACCGTGGTGCACGCCGTCCCCATCTCTAAAGCTATACAAGAAAAGACAGTCGTCTATGAAAGGGCCCCACTTCACAGTGCTGGACATGGAATTATCAGCTACAGTGCTTATCACTCCCCATCTCCCGTGGCTGTTGGACCAGCTGTAATTGCTGATGCTGGTCATGGTTATGGAAGTCATGGCTATGGACTTTCTGGAGGCAAGGATGTTCACCATGGTTATGGAGGCTATAAGAAATATTAACTTGCTTTCTAAAAGTAAGTATAAAAGTCAAATACTTCATTGATGTTTTGTACCTAGACAAATTAGGAAAACGTCTTCGGTAAGCACATGAAAACAGAAGAAAGTTTTATGCGTGTATAAAATTTCTTTTAAAAAAAATGTATAACTTGTTAAAAAAAATTCTGGTTTGTATCAGGAGATGGGCCGAATAATGTTTAAAATTGATCCAGGATTGTCAAAACTGTACAAGTATCATTAATCTATTGGTCACAGCAAATACTTTTATCGCAAAAGAAGCTCTCCCGAGAAAAACCGTTTTTGAGCATATCCCTAAATATGCTTAGATCTATTCATGATCCTAAAGATTTGAATGATTGAAGAACCAAGTAGGGTGTGTTCGACGTTATTAGCAATAAAAAATGTTAATTTATATTGTTATTTTGAAATTTTTGAAGAATTGTTTGAGTTTATATTAGGATCACTCTTATGAGCAGCACTCGTGTATTGTTTTAGGTGCATTACATGTGATGAATTAAATTTTTCTTGCACAAAGTATGTTATAAATGCATCTAAAATAATTTTTGTCTCTTACTAAGACTTTAAAATTGGATTAACATTTCTTTTCTTTTAAACAATCGAATCTTCCTATGTAAAAAATATTCGTGCATAAAAGGTGTAACTTTATTTCACGCATTTTCCAATAAAATATTCACTTTCAATTTTTCTTTTAAAAATGAATTCAAATTCATGTCAATTTGGGATTCTGTATTTTCGTTTTGTGTTTAATTCATATGTTCAGCATCGAAATTTCCCCTTATGATAGAAAGAATTATAGAAACAATTATCGTCTGTCATCTTATTGTCATTATACAGTTGTTAAAATTGTGTCTGTTTTTTAAAAACAGGATTTTCTTAGTTCTGGAACATTTCGAAAAACTACCATAATTTGCAGCAACTTAGCATATTTTCTAGAGTAAAATTTTGGACGTCTTTAGCCGAGTTGTCTGCTGAACCTGCCTCAGGAGATTTTTGTCAGATTCAAAATTGTGAACGTGTATTGCAATCAAGTGGTTTAATATCAATATTTTCAAAAGCTATTGTTTCATATGCCAGTTACGCAGCTTAATTTTTGTTATTCTTTTTCTCTAGGTTGGCAACATGGCAAGCCTGCAGTTTGCTTATTTAGATCTGATGACTTTCAAAGTCAAATATACCGTAAAGAGCTTATTTTGTAAATATTCATAGAATTTACTGCTTCATTTATTTGTAAATAAATTATGCAAAAGAAACCGACGTTGTAATAAAGAAATAAATCTGTTACTTGTACATAACGCCTTTTCATTTTATGCATACCTTTATTTCATCTTATTTTAAGTTTTGAAAATTTTAAAATTCCTTTTGCTTATAGATATTAGTACCTAATTCTTCCATGATTAGCAGTGTGAACAGTAATTCGATTCAAGTGATTTGGTAAAATAATTAGATTCAAGTGATTTGAATCAGTGATTCGAAACATGCTATACGGATCAGTGGTTCAAATGACGTGAATCATATCACTAATTCGAATCTATGGTGATGAGATTCAAATAGCTATTCGAATCAGCGATTCAAATTAGGTGATTCGGATCAATGATTCCAATGAAGTGATTTGGATCAGTGATACAAATGTTGTTATTCGGATCACTAATTGGAATTAAGTGATTTAACGAAATAATGGCGAATCATGTAATTCGAATCAAATGATTTAAACAATATCCAATTTAGAAATACAGTCTCAGTTCACTTACCTAGTGCACTTTTTTCCCTTTCCAACTGCCGATCGAATGAAAAATCTATTAAAACATTAGAATTCATTCAAATGATTAAGTAAGCCAATTATACCTTAATTTTTAATATATATGTTGCTATAATATGTATGTATAATTTTAATATATATGTTGCTATATGTTAAAAGTACTTTTAAATGCAGCAATTAAAGAAAATTAAATTTAAAAAAAAAAATTTTTTTTATCTAATATATCGAATACTTTCAATAGAAAATTTTAAATTACAAATGATGAATGGGAAAAAAACTCTACGGTTTAGCAATTTTTTTTTAAAACTTCATATGATACTGAATCACTGCGAAATAAAAGTAAGAGAATTTCAGGAAACAATAATTCATTATAATTTAAATAAATTCCTATAAAATTAGCTGATTCGAATCAATCGATTCAACATGATTCAATTGATTCCAATCCAATAAATTCAGTAATTCGAATAATCACCGATTTATTATACAACATGCGAGGAATTCTAAATTCCGACTTCCTTTTACAACACTTAGTTTGTGGCTTAGTGTGGTACATAGATTTAATATGATAATACACATTACCAAGTTTGAAAATTATGGGTTAGTAATCGGGGAAAGTTTAGTTAATTATATAGGAGAGAAAATAGGATACCTGCAAGTGAGGTTGTGTGGGTATCTCGATCCTGATGGGTTGTTGAAATGCAGCATTTGTTTACGTTAGCAACTGTTCTTTCCATCCTATTTCGAGTAACCCAAGCCAGACAAGTATGAATTCTCTTAAGTGCCACATTCTATATTCTTTCGCAAAGATTTCAATTCTTTCACTGTATATTTCTTACTTAGCGCAAAAACAGGAGCGAAGCCCTGTGGAACATAAACAAACTAATTGTGCATAGAAGTTGCCAGGTACACAAAACAAAAAATATAACATGGTTACAATAAAATGCATAAACAAATAATAAATCTAAGCTAAATAAAAGGCGCAGACGAGAAGGAATTATATTTCAACAAATTCGATGCGCGATACAGCGCTGTATTTAAATAACTTCACGTTAATTAACGTTGTAACTTATGTGGAGAAACTTAGCTTAACTTTATCACGCCATTTTGCTTATAAACCGCGATGGCTCAGGGGATAGACCATTCAATGAGGTGAACCGGGTTCGAGTTCCAGCGATGGCTGGTCGATACGAATTCCACATCCGGCTTGCCCTGACCTCAGTGCCGACGTGAAATATCCTCAGTGGTAGACGGATCATGGGCTAGAGTCACCTTGCCGTCAGGCTAACCATGACAGGTTCCCGTAGTTTTCCTCGTTATGTAACGCAAATGTGGATTAGTTTCATCAAAAAATCCACCACGAAAGCAAATGTTTCCCAATACTTGATCCAGGAGTTCCTTTGTCTTTTGGATTGGGTTCAAAATGACAAGGCTACGTAGTTGAGCATTAGTATAGACGTAAACCCAAAAATTGGGTCGGCTGTTCAACGACGGTTATAAAATAAAATAAAATTAGCGGCTGGCGCTTACGTCATAGGTCACATGTGCGATCTTCTTGAAGTGCAAGTACCCAATTTCGACGTTGTATTATAAAGATATTATTGGACATTAAATTTCAGTTTCTTGTGCCACCCCCTAAAATTTGTTAGTAATGTTAGCCTAGCGAGTGGTATAGGTATATCATAATACTAAACGTGGCAATGTTTAGATATTACAGGTTAATATTTAGGGAAAATGTAGGCTTTTATGTATGTGGTCGACGGTTTCATTATAAAGGTTAATATTGACGTTATAATTCGGCCTCCTTGTGAGCATCTTAACTCGTCTATAATTTTGTGGCATGGTGTAGTACATCGTACCAATATATCTGACTCAGTTGGAAAATTGTAGGTTAATACTTAGTTAAAACATAAACCATTCTGTAAGTGAAGAACATGAAAGGAACACTTGTTCCGACGACACAGGAATTACTTAGGCCCCCTTGAATCCCCCCGCCCCCATTTCGCGTATAATTTTGCTGCTTGGGATAAAGTATAGGTATATTGTAATTATAAATGGGACCACATTTGAAAATACTAGTTTAATAATTAGGAATATATAGTATATCTAGAGAACGCAAGGCGTTATTAGACCTTACATTATCAAAGGGAATATTGAGAACGAAAATTTAAAATATTTTCTTTAAGAATTACCAGGCAGTAAAAAAAAAAAAGAAAAAAAGATCTTTTTAAAATGAAATTCTGTAATAAAGAGGAAAAATTGATTACCTCCTTTAATACACAACTGTTACAGGTTTCGAACGCACGCACTTTTGAATTGATTGAAACTTAAATTTTCATAATTTATGCGGAATTTATTTCAATTTGTTTTATATTAAAAATTAAGCGTCCATTTATAGGAATATTTTACTTCTAAATATGTTTTTGTAGTATTTTAGTAATGAAACTACACACTGTTTCCTTTCGTTCATGTCCCGCAGTGGACTGATCGTTATGACGCGGTTCCCAGCAGACCACCGAAGTCAAGCATCACTGACTGCGGTCAGTGTGCGGGTGGGTGACCACTTGGATCAGTCTGCGTAGGGACCGAGGGTGTGCGGTATGGGTCCTCGTTAAACTGTTCTACTGTAAAGTGCTCGACTTCGCGTACAGGTCGTCGGGCTACCGAAGCGGGGGTGCCATCCCCTCTGCAGAGGATCAAAATTGTGATGGCATGTCTTCGGATCATCCTCAGGGATGTTTCCCAGATCGTCGCCAACAGCCCATTGTGCAGCTCTAGTGCGACATAAATGAACAAATCAAATAAAAAAATCCTTTCGTTCATCCTATTCAAGTTGTATGGTAAAGTGCTTCAGTAAATTTTCTGTCTTTCAACTTGAAGAGCAAACCTTTCTTACAGAATATACAGGAATATACAGAATTATGAAAAATATACAGAAATGCGAACAATTCATTTTGGGAAAAAAAATTTAAAATAAGTATAGTCAGTTTTTCACGTTTTTGGAAAGCGTTGCATCTCTATAAAGTGTGAAAATGAAATATAATTTTAAAGTTGAAGAGATCTTGAGCGAACCATCCATAAATATGTTTAAAAATAATACAACACAGGAAGTTAAAAAAGAAAAAGAGGAAGGAAAAAAATAGCTGTGCTGTAAAATCTTCCTTTTTATGAGTTAAATCCGATCTTTATGACCAGCTTTAATATTCTCCCTTTTTTACGAACGCCACTCATTAAAACTCTTTTTGTTTGTGTCCACTATTTGCGCCGCTTATTCGAATAAACTTATTATTTCCAATTCAATCTTTAATCTGAAATTGTAGTATTGTGAAAATCCAAGTTCTCGATTAATATAGATTTATCGATCAAGTTTTCATAACATCTCCTGTAAATTAGAGGAATGCTTTAAAAAAAAGGTTTAAATTAACTCGCTATCATTACGTATTCTTATCGCAGAATCATTCGTAAGTATTCTATTCATAGAATCATTACGTAGAATCTCCGATTGTTGAAACTAGTACTTTAGTAAACTTAAGTTTGATTTTTCCTGAGACTTTATATCACTTTTGAACACTTGGATTGCGTTTTTGATTTTTGATGAACACTTGAATTATGCTTGCGGTTTTTGGTGAACTTTATTTTTGATTATTCGGGATCACGTCAATTATTAAGATTGTAATTTTGTTTCACTTTTGACTTATTGCCGAAAGCTTGGATACTTCGCTTGTTGATACATTTCTAAACTTGACATCTTTTTAGTTGTGATTACTTATTTTTCAAAATATCACTTAATTGAGTATATTATTGTTTTTGGTATTTTATTATAGATACTGCAAATTTATAATCTTCATTGTTTAATGTTTAATAATTTATAATATCATATTTCTAAATTTAACGTATATCTTCCTTACCAGAACAATTTCGAAGCTTAATTTTTGAAGTATCACAAGTATCGGATAAAACTTTGAGTGTATACAACTTTTTCTAAACTTCTAGCTTATGCAACATGAAAAAGTATATTTTTTAGTTACAATATACCATCTTCAGCGTCCTATTTAATTATTTTTTAGATTTATTAGGTTTTTAAACATGACTTTGTGAGCAGGTAGTTTCATTTTTCCTTCAACAGATTCCTTAGAACTGTATTGGTTAAGTTTAATTAAGTTGCCATGCATGGCTTTATGAGTGGATGCATGTTTGCACTCGTTTCCTATTTAATGTATTTAGACTGTTGATTTTTTAAGTAAGGAATTTTTAAATATAATATTATGTGTGCGTACGCTTCCTATTTAATAGATTTTTTTAAAATTGTATCGATTCCTTAAGTTAAATTATTTTTCAAAGTTAATTTTGAATGTTTGTCGCATGAAAAAATACTATAATATTGCTTAAAGATAATAATTTTGACAGTAGCTTATTTGCAATATTCCATTACATAACCGTATCTTCGTATTTTAAAACTCACTCAGAAGACAATAGAACTTTTATTAAACTCTCCTTCATGGGAGACTCAGAGAGTTTATCTGGTTT